CTCCGTTGGATTTCAAGGCTGACATTAGTTGCGTTTTTTTACTCATTTCCAGTAAAATAAAGTAAGTTTTTACGAATTTTCATGTTTTGGCGTTTTCGTACGCAAAAACTTGCAAAGTAGGGGAAATTGAGAGATAAAAACATAGCAAGGTAGAACCGTTCTCTCATTTTGTCGGCCATGATTTTTTTTTTGAAGTTTGCCAGCATTTTAAAATCATATAAAATTGAAAATAAAAAATTGAAATTGTTCGAAATTGTTGTTGCTTGAGATTGAAAATGAAAATGTGTGTGCGAGTTTATGAGTAAATTTAAAAATTAAAATGTTTGGAAACGTCAAGAATTTTAAAAGTAACTCTCAGCGGTTCTACCTTACTATATTTTTATCATGGTTTTTACTGGATTTTACTGGATAAATTTTTACTTGTAAGAATTTGTCAGTACGAAAAACAGCTGATCGCATGTTGCTGGATGAAATTTGGACTAATAAGGAAACTGTTTGTGGGTTTTTATTGTGGAAATTCACAAAATAAACATATTTAATTATAAAATATATTGTTTTATTAGAAATATGCTGCGAATAAACAACCAATTAATCAGCTGTTTATGAAACTTGCAAATTATTACTGGAAAAGCGTTCACGTACTTTTTTTCTATGGGAGCGAATTCTTAGAAATTAGGTTACTGGATAATTTGTAAAAAAACACATCTATTATCATCACCTTTGTTCGCTGCACCGTGGTATTCTATCATTCTTGATTTCTTGGAGGTATGACCTGTACCGCCCTACAAACGAAGAACATGCACAGCAAGCCGAGCATGTGCGCGCACATGTTCGTCGTGTGTAGCCACTGTAGGGGCCCTGTCACACGGTCAGTATTTATTGAGGTGATCCCATGAACCAGAAATACAAGATCCCGTAAGAACGCGACGTTGTATTTGTAACTGGTTTTGAGAAAACAGTTTGCGAAAGCGGGTTCGTCAGCTGAGCGTTTGTTTACATCACAAGCACCACTATTTTACTCTTTTATTCAAGTAAAGAAGTTAATTCAACATGACAACACATTTTAAAGCATTTTTTTGCATCATTTCACCTAAATTGTGCGTTTAAAGTGGCTGACAATAATTTTGGCTAATTTTGGTTTTCGTTGTTTTCTTTGCTTTGTTTACAATTCGCTCGTTTTCCAGTGAAACAAGATGGCGTAGAACCCGCTAAAAATCGACTTTTTTCACTCTCTTGTTCTTACGTGATCTTGTGTCTTTCGTTCATGAGGTGATCCAAGTATCGCGATATTTATTGACGGTGTAGCATGTGGTGTTGATAGATCGTGATCCATATCGCAAAATTTTTAAAAATTTTGAAATCTGGATCGCGGATCGCAATACCGTCAATAAATAGCACTTCCAAACGCGATCCATACATTTCGTCAGTACATCTTGTACTCTCACAATGTGAACATCGACAAACGAATTCGCTATCGGTGCTTAAAACCTTTTAAAACAAACTGAAAAAATTGTAATTAACATTGACAATTTTAAAATAATTGTAGAATTATCTGTAACTTAATCATACAAAATGAAAATATTTTCTTGCGTCATAATTAGCGTTCAGCACAAAAATTATGCAAATACGGACGCAATAAATATTGACCATGTAGCGTACGTTCATCGCTCATTCTCTTTCTCTCGCTGTTCGCAGTGTTCATCCAACTTGACATTTCTCTTTGTAGAACATTCTACGTCATTCCTCGAACATTCTGGCTATTTCTCGTTGTTCGCTTCGCGTTGCCGCAGTATTCGCCACAAAGGATTTAAATGTTTTTAAACACCGAAATTGAGAGAATGTTGTCTGGTGGCGTCATGCGGCAAATGGTTATTTCAAGACATCAAAGTGCCCACACACAAAAACTTGCAATCATATTGCTCGTCAAAATGACAGTTGGTAGGCCATCGGTGCTTGCTTGTGGAGTTCTGCGGCCATGGTAATATTCTTCTTTTTATTAAGTAACCACCCTGTGTTTTTCTAAAAGCGCTTTCCTTACATTTCCGAATGTCATTGTTTGACATGTAGCAAATAGCTGCTAACTTCACTTCAGACATGGCACTTCCTGGTTCTTTTCGTCATCGTTTCCAAGAGAAAAAGGTGAGCATTTGTAAAATGTCGGCGACTACTTCAGTTGGCACGTGGAAGATGTAGCTAAAGTAAAAAAATGTATTGGAAGTATATTCCCGAGTGAGGTGTAATATCAGCTGAAGCCTGAAATACTGCTGGTAACTAGATTATTAATATATTATCACACGTGTTTGGCACGTTCGTTCCCGTGTCAATTGAAGACGAAATTTAGATTCAATGATGATCGAATAAACGGAAGAGTTCTTGAAGACTATTATTCATCACCCAAGACTGATAAATATTTAAACTTGCTTTATATTTCAAACTAAGTACATATCTAATATGTATTGATATATTTGTATTCATTTTTTTTAGACTTGAGATGGCCACCACATCACCGCATCTTAACTGGTTGATTATCCGCAACAACAACGCTTTCCTGTTGAAGAAGCGCGATGTGAAGAAACCTTTCAGTACGGTAAGATCCTTCATTTACTAACGCATTAATATGTTATTTAAATTAACTTTTTCGTTAAATTTGTTGATTAAATAGAAATGTACGTTAGAAGTTTATCTAAAAAATTGTCTACTCTTTTAGGAGGCAAGCAATTTAACCAATGTAAGCTCATTCCGCTACAGTGGATTGGTTCACAAGAAAACCGTTGGTGTTGTACCCGCTGCCGACAAGAAGGGATTTTCGGTTGTTCTAAAGAAGGGCAAGAACGCTCAGCGTCCCGCTAAGAGCACCGTTCGTGTTTCGTTTAAGGCCGGGCCCAGAAGGGCACTGAAAAAGTTGAAGAATCTTTTGACATTCAATATTTCCAACAAGTGCTACTTTGGACTGAGTAGTCAATTTAGGAGTAAAGTCCTCTATCGACGTACGACTAAACCGCTGGCATATGGCGCATTTGCGGCGGCGAGTTCCGCAGACGATGGAACGGCGACTTTTATGAGCTTTACAGGGAAGTGGACATAGTGCAGCGTTCGATTGGACCCCGACGCTCCAGCTCTGGAAGTATTCCGCTTGTAGCTCGCCGAGGGTAGCAGAGGAAAGGGAGGCCCCCACTGTGATGGAAAGACCAAGTGGAGTAGGTCTTGGCATTTTCCATTGGCGTCAGTTGACACAGAAGAGAACGGACTGGTGTTTGTTAAAAAGTCGCTTAGAAGATTTATCTCGTTCTAAGACAGCATTATAAATTGATTTCACAAAATAAAAATTTTATTAAAACCATAAGGCCAAACGTTTTTCAAGTTATAGAAATTATCTTATTTAAAAGGTAGTAAAAAATATAAAACAATTCAAATCAGTTAGTTAATCTTCCCATAAAATATACTTATTGATACATAATACGTATTTGAAGGTTCTTAATTATTTAGATGAATGTAGTCCTGTCCACCTGTATCTTTAAGCAACAAAATTTTTAGTTCGCCAAATATCCACATCTGTTTGTAAACATTTGCGAAAGTCATAATCACATAATCCAAGGCTAAAGAGAGGATTGGTGGCTTTAAAAAAATGCAAACCACGACCAATTTTTATGATATAACCATTGCTGAGACTGAAAGAACCATTCGTTAGATATGACATTTTTACACTTGTGTCCAAAACTTACACAATTTTGCGGTCATGCAAGGTGTCTTCGAATTTATATGTTAAAGAGACATTTCGTCTTGCCATATCAGATCTAATCTGCTCTAATATGTGTTTTTGGTTTTCAGATGCTTTGTTATCAGTTTTTGTCACCACTCGGACATATTTGAGATGCCTGCAGTTTTTTACTAGCAACTCCAGAAACGTTATTAGATTCTGAAACTTTTTGCGAAACTCATTAATGAATTTGGTCTATTAGACAATTGGAATTTTTACACACATGATATTTTTCATGAAGGTAAGGTTCTTCCAGCAGGACCTCTTTTACTTCAGCATTAAGGTACTTTCCAAAAAGCGATTCATAACTATTGCCAGCGGAATCCTCATCTATTGGTATGTTTGTTACAAGTTCTCCACGGATAACATGATTTTGTACACGTTCCTTAATTTGTTCGGCACGGTCTATATATTCTTTAATCCTCTCGTAAAATACTTTTTTCTTTGCAACGTCATTTTCGTCTGCCCAGTATAAAATAAAGCAAAAATGCAAGCAAATAAAAGAATTACTTTTCAAGGAAAAAGCTCTTGGGCGATGATATGTATGAAGATTACTTGGAAACAATATACGCATGCATATACACATATATTCTTACCTGATACAAGATCCATGAGAATTTGTATGCCATCTTGGTAAAGATTTTGGGCTTCCAAAATTCGGCCCGCCTGATCACATTGAACTGCTCGCATTAATATATCCTTGGCGTTCATTCTGCCCAAGCCGTTTGCACTATTTTCACCAACCACTTTAGGTAGATTCAGATCAAACCACTTTTTATAACCTTTCGCTAATGCTTCCAATATATGTAAATAGTTCTGCGACACGCTCACACGATAGACTTACAATTTATAAATAAAAACCTAACAATATCAAATACATACACTAAAAATTTTTGGAAAATAAAGCCGAACGCTTAAATATGTTTTAATACAAACTACAAAATTTTGGGGCAATATTGACAAACAAAATTTTCTTTATTTCAATGACAATTGTTTTGTTTTTTATTTTATTTTTTTTCAATACGAGAATATTGTCAAATGTGACGTAAACACTAAACAAAGGCGACCAGCTGATGACCAGCTGTTAAGNACAATATTGACAAACAAAATTTTCTTTATTTCAATGACAATTGTTTTGTTTTTTATTTTTTTTTTTTTCAATACGAGAATATTGTCAAATGTGACGTAAACACTAAACAAAGGCGACCAGCTGATGACCAGCTGTTAAGCTGAAATTAGTCAAGAACGTAAACCTACCGGTACGTAACCCGAGTCAGCTGACACGATCTGTCTTACCAAAGCGCCATGTAAATGAAAACTCAACACCGCAGAATTTTTCTGTAGTTGTAGCCCGTTGCGCAGAAATCTGCGGAATTTAGATTTTTCCGTGTCAGCTGATTTCTCCTTCTTTAGATGGTTGCCACTTCGTCAGTTTTACAGATGGTAAAAAAGATTTAAGTTCCTACTCAAAAGATTTTAAGTTCCTACTATTGAATAATGTTTTTGTTGAAAACTAAGTAGTTTATATTTAGCTAAAATCTATTATAGCACGAAAAATTGTAGTTGAAAGGGTAAGTTTATGAAAAGGCATTGATGAGTGGCAACAGTGTAGTAAGCAACACTGAGGGCTCCAGTAATCGACAAAATTCTGCGTATACAGACTGCGTTTAAGTATACGTTCTGCGTTATCGACTAATTTCAGCTTTAGATTTGGGTTGTAATGTTGCCAGATGTGCGATGACCCCTGCTTATTTGATTGCCCTTGCCAGATGTAAAAATGTTATCTTGCAGCCCAGTGCAATTTTCTTTCATTACACCTGATTTACATGATTCAAGTACTTGCAAGCAATTCTTGCTCATTCTCTTTTGTGTTTTTTATTTGCTTTTACACGTTTCAATTCTGTTGAATTCAAGTCTTTGGTTCTTTAAATGGGAAGCAACGAAAATGCCAAAAGCAAAGCAAGAAAGTTGAAACGACTTGACGGTACAGACGCATGTGTACTCGTCCCTTTTCTTCTCACCCCCTCTCTTCCATGGCCGAGCAGAATTGAATTCAATACTTGAACTGTGTAAAAGCACACTTAGTCGCGCACTTATATGCACAGACAGCTTAAGTGTAGCTAACGGCCCGTCTCCACAGGCAAACGTTTTTGCCTACCAACTGTCATTTTTATTGCCTGATAAAAATTTTATCAGCGGCAATATTTGTGCGTGGGCATTTTTTATCTTGATAAAAGCATTTATAAGATGGCTATTTTTGCCGGATTTCATCAATTAAAAAGTTTAAAAAGTATGCTATTTCACACCCAAGCAAATAATAACACATATTTTAATAGAAAACAGTTCAATTTTTGCTTTTATATTGAAATATCGATAATGTTGTCTCCACGAAGCTATCGCGCAAATGAAAATGTAGCTGTCAAAGTACCAAATTGCTGGCAATATTTATCAAGATAAAAGCTCTGATAATTATTGCTTGCCAAGAGCAATATGCGGTCTCCATGGGCAAAATTTTGCCTGATAACATTATCAAGATAAAAACTTTTGCCTGTGGAGACAGCAAGTAAATCGCTTCATATTAAAAATAACGAGCAGTACACATATCTTGCGAATGGACTATCAGTTCAAGCTAAAATTACGGTTTTGGGGATACCAGGGCATGTAGGCATAAAGTGTAATGAGGTGGTGGACGACGCCTCCAAAAAAGCCAATAGCTTGCCGTTAATAGCACAAGTTCCATGCTTAAAAACGGTTATGATAAACTTTTATAAAAAATCTCTCAAAGAGAAAGAAAATCAGAAATGGCATCTATCAGAATCGTTTCTTAACAAACACAACGAAAACATCGATCGGCCAAAATACAATTCAAACTTATCCAGGAACGACTGCATTATATTAGCTCGCATGCGAGTTGGCGTAACAAAATTTTCAGTCCAACACTATTTTCAACAATCGCGACCAAGGGAATGTGCGTGGTGTTCACCGACCCTAACTTTCGAACATATACTAAGAAATTGTACTGTATCCGGAGATCAAAATATATTTAAAGAAAGCTCTAGACTGCACCCAAGAAAACACCATAAATTTACTTGAAGATGGTCTAAGTAAACATAACTTACTCAACGAAGTTTAAAATAACTTTCCCCTACTTTGCCAGGGAGCCGGGTACAGAAACGCTTTCTGGTAAAATCCTGTAAATTCTTGCAACTTCTTGCGAGTTAGGGAACGCAACTATTGTTTGAAACCATGATACAAAAAGAAGGTAGTTTCATTTCATAATTCAATAATAATAATAATAATAATATTGAATCATGGTTTCATTTCAAGATTTTTGACAAAAAATAAGTTTTTGAAGTTTCATAAATAGTACAAAATTATGAGCTACCCTGCTACAATGACAGCAATCAAACACATCAGAGGATTTAATGTTGTGCGTGGAAAATGTCCGGTTATTTGTACTATATTTTGCTGTCTAGCGGAGAAGGGAGGGGTGAGGAACCTAAAACCGCACTCATTAGATAGAGCCAATTTCAAAATAGGGTAAAACTAGCATTTTCGCAAAGAAAAATTAAACTCGTGTTAGGCCATCAGCAGTATTTTTGGCATAAATGCAGTTAGGCTCCAAATCTCAAATTAAAAAACAAAATATTGGGATTGATAGAGATGATCGAGCTGAGAATAACGGTATACTTCTTCTTTTTTTTTGGGAAACAACAAGAATTGTCAAAGGTTAAAGTTCAAAATAACCTATTTTGAGGGTGTATAACATNCCGCACTCATTAGATAGAGCCAATTTCAAAATAGGGTAAAACTAGCATTTTCGCAAAGAAAAATTAAACTCGTGTTAGGCCATCAGCAGTATTTTTGGCATAAATGCAGTTAGGCTCCAAATCTCAAATTAAAAAACAAAATATTGGGATTGATAGAGATGATCGAGCTGAGAATAACGGTATACTTCTTCTTTTTTTTTGGGAAACAACAAGAATTGTCAAAGGTTAAAGTTCAAAATAACCTATTTTGAGGGTGTATAACATAATCCAGACAATCAAAATCCAGAAATTCAAAATGCGGACAGTCAAAATACAGGCAAATCAAAATCCAGACAAATCAAAATACAGACCAATCAAAATACAGACAAATCAAAATCCAGACAAATCAAAATCCAGACAAATAAAAATACAGACAAATCAAAATACAGACAAATCAAAATACAGACAAATAAAAACACAGACTAATAAAAATGCAGACAACAAATTAAAATAATATTATTTTTTTTAGAATGTTTCCTATTTAAAAAAGTGGCGAAAATTTTCAGTATATATTTAAATATTTTTTATTTTTTTGTTAAAGAAAGCGCGGCGGTATTGATTAAAATATAATTTAATATAAAAAAAGCGCCGCAGGCGAAAATTTGGAATGAAAAATCGCGCGTCTTTCATGATTAGTTTGGCAATACCATGGAAATATATTCAATCTAATATCAAATTTTTTAAAAGAGCAAGTTTTTGTAGAAACTAAAATTGAAAAGGTGCTTAGTGGAGAAAAACAAGATAAACGGCGGCGCCTGGAAAACAGAACATTTTATTAAAACAATTGTTATGGAAAGGGAAAACTATGCTCCCAAAGAATACTTAGCCAATTTAGCTAAGCATCTCAATTTAATATAAGTAGTTAATGATTGTTTGTAAATACTTACTAATTAAAATTTTTGAAATAAATTCCGGTACACTGAAATTGTTTTGATGAAGAAGGTTAGGGGTGGAATCGGGAATTTTTTAGAAAAGTATTCCCCGATTTGGGGCGGTTNGTTAGGGGTGGAATCGGGATTTTCTGAGAAAAGTACTCCCCAGTATTTTTCCGACAATATTTTTGCGCAGATCTCTCTGCGAGCCTAACTACGACTTATCAGACACGATTTTGATTTGCAAAAATTGTATACCCACATTTTTTCCCCTCATGTCTGTATTTTGGTTTGTCAGTATTTTGATTTGTCTGTATTTTGATTTGTCGGTATTTTGATTTGTCTGGATTTTGATTTGCCGGTATTTTGATTTGTCTGTATTTTGATTTTTCTGCATTTTTTGAATTTTGTCTTTATTTTGATGTCTGGATTTTGAATTTCCGGATTATGAATGTAACCGCTATTTTGAACCTAAGATTTCTTAAAAATAAATGGATGGATTTTGAAAATTTTGAACTCGTTTAATAGGAAATTTGATTCCCTTTAATTTGGCATACGTACTTTATATATATGTACATATGTTGTATAGTTCTTACAAAAATTGAATTAATGTAAAATAATTATAAAAAAGAAATCTTGATTTCAAAAATAGCTTATTTTGAACTTTAACTTTTTACACTTAAGAGCGAAATACACCACACAAGCGGTTTGACAAACCAAGCGGAATTTCCCTTTGCACAAACCGCTTGAGGGAAATTTGAGCAAAAATCAAAATTTTTTGATTTTCTGGCCGCCATGTTGATGTTTGATCAAACCGCTTGCGTTGTGTATAGCAAGATCGCCTCATTCGCAACGAAATTTTCACCGAGTAAGGACGTAAGAGAGGAAAATGAAAGAAAACCATAATATTTAGCATTGCGAACTGGAAGAAAACTAAAATTCTTTGCTTGAACGAGTCATGTTTGCATGGTGTATGGCGAAATGGGAAAAGTAGGTTTGAAGAATGTTTGACAAGCCGCTTGTGTGGTGTATTTCGCTCTTAACTTTTTAACAGTTTTACGCAGACTCCGAATAGCGAATGCATTGTTTCATAGCAGAAATACCTAGTCAGAGGTTTGCCATTGCCTGCCGAGGGGCGACCGCTATTAGAAAAAACTGCTTTATATTGGTTGAGAACTGGACTTAAACCTAGGCCCTGCCGAATGGTAGTGCGCACCGATAACAACTACACCACAGCGGCCGCGGAAATACATAAATAAGTCTTCCAAAAAATACTTTCGAGCTTCCTAGTTTTTTTTTTTTTGAAAATAATGGAATATCCTAAATGAATAAATTATTTTTGATTTTATTTCAAATGTATTATTTGGCTTCCAAAGTTGCATTGATATCAATTCAGAGCATTGAAAGAAACAATAGCAACAAAATGACAATGCAAAATAATTTACAAAACCAGCGCCGTAGGCGTTTAGCATTAAAAAAGCACCAATTTCGGGACTGCCAATAAAAAACACATTGGAAAAGGCTGCTACGATGAAAAGTTGGCTGAATATTACGGCATTAATACGTTGTGCAATTTGCAGTCCCAATTTTTTTTCAATCAGTCTTTTATAGAACGGAGTACGCATAAGATGTTTCAATAACTTCTCCGCGATCAAACACCAGAAATTCATTACAGTCCAAATTAGTACTTCCGTCTGGCAGCCATGCCACATAAATACAAACGTAAAGGTTATCACAGTAGATACAAATTTGGAGTAATTTGCATTCACCAGCGGATGATATATATAATCAAAGAGAAATTCATACAGGCCCTGGTCAAAACGCTTCCACATGTTTGAATAATAATGAACGTGGCCAATACATTGCGGCTTGCTAGGTGGTTGCATTCCATCGTATCGGGAAAAAGCAATGCCCAATCCATATTTCACTAAATAGGTCATGAAAAAGAACTGGCCTAAAAAGTATCCAACAGCATGCCGTCCAAATGGTGACTTGACTAGCTTTGCCGTTTCAGGAACCATAGCCATGTAATGTACAAATAAGTAACGCATTCCGAGTTCCAGAACCAGCCACCAGAAGACAATTCGAACTAACTCACAAGCAAATGACTTTAGTTGGCCAGGTAATCCATTCACATTTTTTTCTTTTAATACCACAATGTAACGCTTATAATCTAAAAATGGTCCGTTTGCAAGTGTTGGAAAATATAGCGTGTATCCCAGAAAATGCGCCAAGCAGTCTAGTTTTAACAGTTGTTCCTTTTTGAAGTGTGCATCGACGCAAAAATGTGCAAAGCTACAACAGCGCAACAAGGTCCAAAATAGTATTACACTAAGAGTATAAAAAACGTCATATCCATCGGAAAAATTAGCAATATAAATCGCTAAAGCATTCAGCATTGCTACCCATAACGCTGTTACTATCCAAACAACTTTTTTATTACCAATATATGCGACTAAATAGAAAATTATCAGCATTGCCAAAACGAATGCAGCCATCTTCAAGGGTAGTATGGTCAGCAGTGAAGGAACTGATACAAAAGCGTAGACCATGCCCATCTGGTTTGCACTTATAAAAAAACGTGAAGTGGTTGAGATCACAGCATGCAATATGTACCACTGCCAGTTAACACGTATGTAATTATTGAAAATATCCAGTTCATAGTTATAGGGATCACGCGTATGACCAGAATGTTGTTGCAATTCTTCACGTAATCCAAATAACGTCCAGAAGCCATAGATGAGATAAGCAAAGTAGACTCCAAAATACAGAAGCAGTTCACGCCGGTAAAAGTGGAATCCTTTTGATTCATCCATATTTTATCATTAATGAAATGATATTTAAAATTTGCTTACAAATCACCTTGTTAATACTGCTTGTTGTTTTGTTATTTGCTAGCCGCAAATGCGGTATCTTCTGTTTGTACTTCGAAGATCTTCTCCAGCAGGTTATTTATCTTTCTACACCATTGGTTTTGCATAAAATAGGAACGTAGGAAAAACATCGATATAAATAGTAGGGTCTCGAACGACGCATCGATGTTTTTGAAACATCGATAACAGGCGCTATATGGATAGAGAAGAAAAAATTTGAAGCCAGTGTGCTTAGGCCGACTGTGGAGTCAGTGACCACAGTGCTGAAATACAGTGCAACGCCAACGCGGTAATCCAGCAGAACCTAGGAATGGAGGTAGAAAGACCAAACGGCGCTGAGGCATTTGTTTTTGGCGACGAAAATTCACACCCCGATTAAAAATGAGAAGAATTGTCTAAGCTCAGTAGCTCTAAAAAAGCTTGCGAAATTAAGTTAATATTCGACTATATATTTTTACAAATAAAACAAACACATAAACTAAATCGAATTGTATTTGTTAATTTGGTTTCATGTTTGGTTTTCACTAATTTATCATTTATTTAGAGGTTAGAATAGTGGTCAGAAAAATCACTAATTATCGCGATATTTTCCCAATAGCTTCATCGCTAAACTCACTTGTACAACACCAACTAGATGGCATGTGTGAGTGAGTGAACACACTGTAAGGCCACGGTGGAGAGAATACAGAAGAAGTTGGCGCCGATGGCGATACCGCTAATCGGCTCCCAGTGAATTTGACAGAATCAGCAGTTTTGCTGACGTCACAGTCGAGTTGACAGCAGTAGTGATGTGCTGAGTCAATACTTTTCAAGTATCCAATACTCTCGATACTCGGTACCGAAAGATTTCGAATAAAAGCGCACATAGGCCAAAAATATGAAAAAAACGGTTCAGGGGAGACTCGCCTATCAAAACTCGGATGTAGGAGCCAATAGAGCTTTTAATACTGATTCAAATGAAAGATGTATATATGTCGGTTCGAGGCCATAATACAGAGAAACTCTTACTTGTTTGAACCATTTTGGTTCCAGCGATATCATTTTTGTAGGCAGACTCTGTAGCCAGTTAGCGACATATTCTGTAACCAGTTGTGCGATATGAAATATTTTTACGTCAACAAGTGCGATATCGATCCGAAAATTGTCGCTTAAATATTCATTTGAAATCGGGCCTAAATGCTATGCACTAATTTGCTTTAAAAGAACAAGCATGAAATTGACTTATTGTCTTAGCATTTATATATGTAAATCATTCCAATTATAAAATTGAGATGTAGCCTTATTCAAATTGTAATACGCATTTAATTTCATCTTCCGATTCAAATGGATCGCTCGTTGTAAATTTCAATTGGAGATCATTCAATATTATCAAAATCACGCTTTGCCAACTTAATTTTTACATATTTCGTCTTTTTTCCTTAATTTAATAAAATACTTCTTCCTAGTTACGACTTAATTGCAGCTACAGCCGAAATTAAATTTTAAGTTGGTACTTAGCCAGAAAAGTCGAAACTAAGATTTTTGTGCTCTCATCGAACAGCTATCATATTCGTACAAAGTCGTACAAATTAGTTGTGTTTACTGAGACCCAAAAAAGTTCAGAGCAGCTCAAGTTAGAGCAGAATCGAGCAGATGTCAAAAAAACAATAGAGCAAATTAGGGCAACTCGGTTTACAAATCTCATGAAATACTTTTCAGGCAGAAATTCTCAAAACGGTTGCTTGTTCTAAGTTGCTTCATCAAAAAAACCGATGCAGAAAATCGTGCTCTAAGGCCCAATTTCAAATGGCCTACTTAAGTAGAGACTGTTGATTAACTTCCACTATTCATTTTCAGATCATACATTTAACCTGCACTTAAATGGCCGATATTGGCCATTTAAATATGAGATATGCAACCCTGTGTTTGTACCAAACAACCAAGATTGATTGGCAGGTTGTTGAATCAATCCCACCAAAAAACAGTCAGCTGTTCAGCACAAAATGTAAAGAAACAAGCGAATGCAACAACAATTTCAAGGACGTGGACGTGGACGGGACAGAACTTTGTCTGCCTCCGGAGACCCGCACTACAATAGCCCAACTTCTTTTTGGCTATTGCAGCAGGCTCAACTCCTACTTGAGTAGAATCAACGAGGATGTGCTCAACCAATGCCCGGCATGTGGAGAATCGCCACATGACTCCCGGCACCTCTTCACATGCCCTGAAAACCCCACTCAGCTAACGCCCCTGTCCCAATGGATAGCACCTGTGGAAGTCGCACACTTCCTGGGCCTCCCCCTAGCTGAAATTGACGACAACGTTGATGGATGAACCGCCCCGAACGGGGCTTAGCAGCCGCTACAACAACAACAACAATAATTTCAAGGAACAAGCAGCAGTGCTGCCAATTGTTTGGCTTGTTCCTTGAAATTGTTGTTTCATTTGCTTGTTTGTTTACATCTTGTGCTGAACAGCTGATTGTTTTTTGGTCGGATTTGGTGGGATTAATTAAACAACCTACTAATCAATCTTGGCTGTTTGGTACAAACACAGGGTTGCATATCTCATATTTAAATAGCCAATATTGGTCAATTAAGTGCAAATTAAATGTATGATCTGAAAACGAATAGTGGAAGTTAATCAACAATCTCTGCTCAAATAGGCCATCTCTGAAATTGGGCCTAATATGCTCTAGTTCAACTTATTAGCGCAGGCTCATGAAACAAAAGCTAGAGTAAGTTACAGCAAGAAAAATGCTCATGAAACAAAATTTTGTGAGATATCTTATAGGGAATTTACATGAAGCGATTTTTCAGGCGATTTTTAGTTGAAAGCAACAATCGCCTGGTGTAAACGGCCTTTCAACTAATCGCTTTCAATGAAGTCATGATAAAAATATAGTAAGGTAGAACCGCTGAGAGTCACTTTTAAAATTCTGGACGTTTCCATACAATTAAATTTTTAAATTTACTCACAAACTCACACACACATTTTCATTTTCAATCTCAAGCAACAACAATTTCGAACAATTTCATTTTTTTATTTTCACTTTTATATGTTTTTAATATGTTGGCACACTTCAAAAAAAAATCATGGGCGACAAATTGAGAGGACGGTTCTACCTTGCTATATTTTTATCATGAATGAAGTTGGTCGGCTGCCTATTTTCGTTCAACTTTTGGTTCAACTAATCGCCTGCGAAAGTTCAATCATGTAAATTGCCTATTAGCCTGGCGTAACCTAGAGCAGCTTATTAAACACAACTATTGCTTGCACTGCTAACAGAACTAAAATCTTTTAACGCCACCCTGGTTATTACGGGCCTGACACTGCTTTTTGTTTTTGTCAATGCAACTCTGTATAACACACGTGCGGTTAGAAATGTCAAATATTTTGTAAATTTGGAAGAAAACAGACGATTTTCGTAGAAATTTAAAGCATTTCTATTTTAAATGATTTAAAAAATATACCAAAATGGATATCGTGAAGGAAGTGTTAGAAAAACAACAACGAACATTAGAAAAATACAAACCAATTACTGTAGATAAACATTTGGAAGTCCGGCTAGATGTTGGTTCTTTGATGTGCACTGACCCAAACGATTTAGATGAAAAAGGTCTAAGGTAAATAAATGATGTCCAGTGTTTTGGTACATCTAAATTGTAATAAAATCGTACAAATTATGTCTTGCTATTTACAGAAGTAACCGGGAGCAGTATTTGCTTGATCTTACTCGTGACAATACACAGTTGCTAATTAATGCAATATGGGAGGTGCCGGCTGAGCGTGTAGACGAATGCATCGTGGCGAAGCTGCCGGCGCCAGCAACTGTCTTGCCCCGCCTGCGTAAGGTACCTGGACCTAAGCCCTTGACAAAATGGGAAAAGTTCGCAAAAGAAAAAGGCATTAAAAAGAAAAAGACGGACAAGAAAAAATACGATGAAGTACTCGATGTAAGTTTAGGAGATTTATAAAGTTATACTTTTTCAGGTGTGATTTTTTAACTTTATCTTTGCAGAAATGGGTACCAACGTATGGATTCAAACGTGCAGATGCTGAAAAAGAAAAGGAATGGGTTTTGGAAGTACCTAAAAATGTTGATCCAAATGAAGATATGTTTCAGAAGAAAATCGACCTGCGTAATGAAAAAGTGGCTAAGAATGAGATACAACGCATGAAAAACATTGTTCGAGCAAGAAAGGTAGAGGTTCCTCGTGGAGGTTACTTCGGCCCAGAGGTAGCCTCCTCAGGGCAGTTGCTGACTGCAGTCACTGTAGCTAAGTCATCCACAGCCTCCGTAGGAAAATTCCAAGATAAATTGCCAAAGGAAAAACAGGCGCGTGGTATCGGTGTGAAAGAACTGATACCTGGATCGAAACGTAAAGCTTCACATATTAGTGGCCAGCCTGAAAAGGAGGTTAATCTGGATTTGATCAAGAGTGTGCTTAACAAGAAACCAAAATATGACATTGAAAAGGCTATTTCTATACAAAAGAACGAAAATAAATTAGAGTATGATCAATTTTTAGATATTCAATAACTCAATGAACAATTATTATTTTTTATCTATTCTTTTAGGAGAGAAGCTAATCCAACTGATGCTGGAAAAAAAGTAAAGAAAGGAAAAGGAGGCAAAAAAGGAAAAGGTAATGGTAAAACTGGCAAGAAACCTAAAGGCGGGCGTGGACAGCGCGCGCCTGGAAAAAAGATTGCTGTGGGTAGGAAGAGGCGTTGAAAAATTTTGTACATACCCTAAACAATTTTATGTTTAAGTAAATATAAGATAATATAAAAACAACATAACAGTAATAATAACGATGCGTTTATTTATTTATTAAATACTTCAGTGAACAATATGCAATAGTTTTAATAATGTTGCACCATTACAACTCTACACTTTATTAAAATGCTTTTGTCCCGTATACTTATTCCTAATATCACAAGTGTATGGACTCAATCAACTTCTTGAACAACGTTTGAGAAGCTTTGCTTCAAATGTACTTATGAAATTTTTAACCTAGCAAAATATTTGAACGTATTCATAGTTTTGATGAGTAACGGGAATTAGCTGATCTTCTTAAAATGCTCGACCGTAGTTCCCCACGGTGGAAGATCGGAGCGATGCGCCGGTTTGTGTTGAGCGGGCAAAACTTTGTGGTCTCACTTCTAAGTCGGTGCATTCATCCAATTTTTTTGCCAAACACGGGAAGTCCCATATGCTCTGCCCCCGTCCGAAGTCTTCACCATCTGTAAGCGTTTGAGGAAGATCATGATTAAGCGTTTCTGGCAGTAGTAAAGCCAGTATTCCGCCAATGATTCCTAGAACGCCCAAAATTACCAGTGGAAGGGCCGGGGAAACCTTTTCTAAATATACAACAAAGGGAGCTATAATGCTCGCAACATATCCCATAATGTGAATAAAAGCGACTCCTTGAGCTCGGACAACGGTAGGCAAAATTTCAGCAGCATATTGCAAACCAATATTGTATGAAATATTAACAAAGAAGCGACCCATAATAGCTAAAGAAGCAAAGTAAATTCCAGGTGGAACAAGTGTTGCGAGCAAACTGAAAATGCCACTGGCAATCATAGATCCACATGCCAACCAACGACGTCCCCATTTGTCTAGTATAAGCGTTAGGATAGTATCTGCTGGGAACTCTGTGAAGCAAGCTACGGTAAAGGTGAAAAATACGTTCACTCCCAGAGAGCTTACATTCCGTACATGACCGTCAAATACTAGCGAAATTGCCATCCAAATGACAATGAGTAGAATTGTGGTCCGTCGCAAACGGGGCGTTTTAAAAAGATCTAAAATTGAATAACTACTATTTTTAGACTCTTCTTGTTTCAATTTCAAGCAACTAGCACTAAAAGCTTGGTATGTATCCATGGGTACGTGTTTTCCATTCACTTTCTCGAGCCTCTTCAGTATAGATATAGCCTGTTCCACTTTGCCTTGCGATACAAGCCATCTGCAAAGGAAACTAATATTTAGCATCCCAAGAATTAAACAAAAGAACTTAAATATACATACATACCTTGCCGACTCTGGAATAACAAGGGGAGTTAACACAACCAAAATTAGTGGGGCAGAGGTGGCAATAGCAAACAACTTCCAGTTTGCAATAAAATAGGCAATCCAGGGTAATAAACAGGCTGCGGCCGTAAAAAATAAAGCTATTGACATGTTCGCCACAAATGTGCGATATCTAGGACCGACATATTCAAGTACTGAAATGAAAGAATTAATAAATAATTAATATGCAAGAAAGTATGTTATGTGAGTAAATGTCACTGTAATCTTAAATATATCGTTTAACAGGTAAATTATTTTTCTTCCAATCACCTACTTGAAGTCTATACTTTAAGGATGAGAGAAGCATTGTTTCCAAAACGTGCACAAGAACGAAAGTGAGAAAGAAAACTGTCGAAAACGTTCTCAATGGGAATTATATAAGAATTAAACCCTGTGGAATGTTTCCGAACAGAACAATACTTTCGGAATATATGTACAAAAGTTTTCGCAAAGTTCTGGAAAAAAAAAAAAACTGAAACAAAAGTCGAAGGAACTTTCTCTCGAAGAACTATTTGGCAAATAAATTCTCAGGAACTTCTGACGGAGAACGAAACGGTAATAAATATTCCCTGAACTATTCGCAAAGAGTGAAAGCGAGAAAAAAAATCGCATTGCCTTGCATTAGTTTGAAATATTTGAAAATTCAAATTAATAAAAAAAAACTGAAAGATAATTGTGCAAATTAAGTCAACGAAAGACTTAAGACGCGAACTTTTCTTGCACAGAAAATGAAAAATTGTTCCATAAACTGACAGTTCACCCTAATTATAAACGATGTGGAAGTTGACATGGTCCAGCTAGAATTAACGGCTCTATTCTGTATCAGTGACAAATTATTATCTCAGCTTTTTTACGGAAAAATATATGAAAAAGTTTAAATCTGTCAGTTACAAAATTTTTGTCACCATTTCAACACGCAGGCGACTCTATCATCAGTATTGCCAAGTTTTGAATTCAAAAAAGCACTAAAACCCTAGAAAAACCACGTTTGTTATCAAAAAAAAGCACCAAATTTCTATTGGAGAAATACTCCAATTGCATTGCAAAAATTGTATTGTAGGGATGCCGATTAAAATTAATAAAAATCAATCAACCCTGTTGCGCAAGTCGTAAACTAGACTAAATTTTACGACTCGACAGCATTGTTACATTGTAGTCGAGTGGAAATTTTACCCTCTCTCGACTCTCGAAAAACGACTTGCATTCGACACGACTCTCGCAATGTGGGTGAATGTTTTTTGCTCGACAGTCGAATTAATTCTGTTTTCTATAAATTCAAATATTTTCATCTTGCTGTTCTCGCGTTGTTGTTTCGCTTAGATCTAAGCAAAATTGATTAATTTTTCCTGACAAATTAAATGTTATATTTTTCTTTGTTTTGCTAAATTTTTTCTAGAGTTCCTATCAAACGAAAGCAAATACAAGAAATGAAGTTTAATGAACTATATGGCAGTTTAAAGCTACACTGTAGTCTCTTATGATCTCGTTAAGTAAAGGAAAGTAAAGAAATTTTCTTTCCGACAGCTTAACACCTGAAACATAACGAAATTTGATTTTCCTTTTTAATGTGTCTTATTTGAGCGTATTATCCACTGGCGCATAGTGGGAAAAGTAGTTTTGTGTCAAAAAAGCTATCTACTCTTCAAATCCCACCCGGTTTCGATTATTCTCTTTTTTTCAAAACGTTCATTAGATAATAATTTTACTGTTAGGAAATGCTAATGCTTTTTCGAATAGTCGTAAAAAAATATAACAAATTCAGCCCGAACTAGAGGTCTAAAGGTCGATTCCTATTCCCAGCAATGGCGAATTACACTAAGTAAAAAAAAAAAAANTGCCTTAAAAGTATGGAAACCACCTAATATTCCTCGGAAACTTTGCTTTTGTGACCAGGACAATGTGATTCATTAAAATATGCTAAAATTATGAGAAAAACGTGTTTGAGTCTTTCACTACAGAGAAAATCATACAGAACAGCACATATAAATCAAAACTAAATTTTATTAAAACTTCAGAAAACCAAAAACATAAAAGTAAATCAGAAGCGGGTGGTTTTTCGACATTTGCGTTTAAACTGCGAGTCACTTTCTCTAATCAATCCCCAAATGTAAGCAAAGTTATCTTGCGACAATAGCTGTTTTCTATACTTTTGGGACCTAACTGACTAGGAAATAACAATTACAACCCAGGGACAAAAACCTTGTTACATAGTGTTATCGAATGTAATTCTGGCATGATTGAAATTGCTGCCCTATATATTGTATGTTGCCACATATGATTGTCATTATGACACGATTTTGTTTCCATTTTTGTAAAGTTGCTTAAGGTGTTCTTACACGATATGTATTTGTATGTGTACATGCCACTTCTTATATATGGAAATGCCAACATGTCGTGTAAAGGCAAATTAGATTTGTTTCTGTACAAAGCAGATGCACGTACATACGAAATAGAAATGTTTCTATTTTCATCTGACACACAGATAGAATCATCTGAGTTTAGTTTATTTCGTTTTCAAAGAACATATTTTTAAATAGTTAAATAAAGCCAGATCGGGCGTTTAAACTGAGTTTAAACCACAGTCGTGCACTGAAAAACTGGCCCTTAACGTGAAGCGCCACGGAGATAATCAAATAAATACGTCAAGCATTGCATATGTGTGAGGGAGGTTCGCTCGTGTCTTGCCGGCAAACGTTCAAATAAACGCGTCAATCACCACTTTGTATTGTGAATACGCAGCGTTCGTTTTTCGTATTTGTTGTTAATTATTATGTCATAATTTTATATGTTATATGTTATAAATTAATATTTATTACATTTCATAGCTAGTAAGCATTGATAATGATCAATCAAACGTAAAACAATTTCTTTTTTTTGTTTGCGCCCTTGCTCACCACGACGACCAAAAGGCAAGTGAGCTTGTTTTTTGTCAAGCAAGACCTGCACTAGCAATTATGAGGTCTGGCATAACGAGAGACGGTCAAATAAACCGTCATCAAATTCAAATATCAAAATTTTTTGATTTTCATCAAGCATAGTCGACTACGAGTCGGTGTACTGAACGTGTAGCCGACAAAAGCCGTATACATCAATACACTTAAAGCGTTGATAAAAACACTTGATCATCTCAGTGGCTCTTTAGGTTCTCAAAAGTTGTTTTCTCATTTCTTCTGTTCTTATTCAACCCTCCTTGAAAATGTTCTCGATACTTTCGTTGTCATTTTGTACTTCCTGACAACGTTCTTGAGAGTTTTGTTCTCTTTTTGTTCTTAACGGAAACGTTCCGGAACCTTTTGTTCCCGTTCAAACTGTTCTGAATACCCGTTTGCTTCGTTTGCGGGAACGTTCTTGACATAACATTTTGTTCTCGTGCAAAACTAAACCAAACCCGGGTGCCTAAAAAAATTGGGGCATATTCATAGTCAAAATAAAGTCGACTCTAAAGTTTGTAGCTGCTTTTTGGAATAATTTTTAATGCAATAACTGTCAAACAAGCTACTGGCACACTTAATTTCGATTAAGAAAATGCCCCAATATTTATACACACATCTTTTCCCGACATAAGTGTTCAAATAAAACTGACACAGCCTAAACTTTTTTTCGTGATACACCTTAATGTACATATATATGTATTAAATAAGTTGGGGCCATAAAAACTAAAAGTTTTCGCTCGAGAAAACAACAACTTTACAGTGATTCTTCCAAGGCGTGTAAGAGGTCATTTACATACGGCAACTCCTTTTTGTGGCAACTCTGAGTTTGTAGGAGGAAAGGCGACGAATAAAGGAGGAGGGTACCAAGTCGCCCGTACTGTGTTGTTGTTAAAATGGCGCTACTAAGTCCCGCATGGGTCGTTGTCGTCAAGCTTAACTAACTGCAGGCCACAGAAACGAGCTGTTTCGCCGGGGTCGGACCAAAGAGAGAGGAGTGTGAGCTGAGTGGGATTGAGTTGGCATATGAAGAGGTGGTTGATGTCATGGGTAGAGTCTCCACATGCCGGCACACATTGAAGATATCGGGGTTGATGCGCTTATAATATCCCCACCGTAACTGGGTTACAGTAGCGTGGTATTGGGCTCCGATCACCACATTCATAGGACGAGAGTCGTGACCGACTCCATGAATGCCATTGCTCACTCGTCGGTACGCCCGATGTGGTTGGTCCATGCATTCGAAAATATGTCTTCTGACGTGGTTGTGCGGCGCTTCTTCCCAAGCACGGGCCAATTGCCTTGTATGTGGCCAGCAACGTTTCTTTGTATTTACCACAGGTGCGCATTTTAATGTTAAAGGTGATCCCAAAAATTTTCGGTTAATTTACCGTCGGAATTGGTGTGCCATCTACATAAATGCTGTGAAGAAGCGAGAAAGCTCGGAGAGGTAGTTGTTTACTTTCGAGCAGAGGTCATCAACTCCATTACCGGACACCAAAATCGTCGTCAGCGTATGACATCAGGGAAATTCCCTCCGATGGCTGAGGAAGCTTTGAGAAGTTAAACAGTAGGGGGAGAGGACATCACTCTGTGGAACCCCTTGCTTAAGCTTTGAAGTTGGATCGCGAAAGACTTCTGACGACTGTCGATCACTCATATGATTCGCCAACCACTGGTTGATTCCCTGTGGGAGAGAGAAAGCCTCAAAGTGTTTTAGTAGCGTGGAATGACAGACGGTGTCAAGCGCCTTTGATAGATCTAACACCACGATTTCCACACATCGGGAATGATGAGAGTATTTTCTGACCAATTTAGAACCTAGGTGAGTTATGCTAATTCCGCCGGACCCAAATGTTTCAGAATAAGCATGCAAATTCTGTCGGGACCAATGACTTTGAAGGCTTTCCAATTGCGATAGCCATCTGGACTTCACCGCTAGTAGTGCTCTGTTTTTGGGCAGTTTGTGCAGCCTCCTGATCACTTGACGCTTGGATTTATCTACCGAAGGATGCAGTATGAATTGCTGGCTAAAGTAGCTCGTGGGTTTCTTCGGGTCTAACGTATTAGACGGGGACCTCACGGTTAACCACGCCCTACTCACACCAGTGGCGAAGTTGCAGGTTTTAAAATGCTCATCCTACTTTTTCCGCTTATATTGGTTTATCAGCCGCTTCTGCTGAAAAGTTTGGGCGGACTTCAGCGATGCGTCCGGATGGAATGACATGAGCAGCTGCGGCAATTACTACCATGCGGAGCTAGCGTTCGCCAGCATATACGTTTGTGGATGTGGGAAAGGTGGCAAGGCTGTTCTCAGTAACTTCCGCGAAGCCATTACAATCAGCTTTGTTAAAATTGACATAGGTTCGGTGGTCTGAGGGAGCAACGTCGGTGGGCTTGTTGATCGAATTGACTATGGATAGGTGGTCTGACGTGAGTGTTAGCAAAGGTCGCCCCCTTATGTTATTTATCAGGCCTGCACTAGCAATTATTAGGTCTGGTGAACTGCTGCAGCTAACCATAATTCTGGTGGGGGCGGCGCACAGTGGTTCAGACCGCAAATCTAGCTGGACGAAATTATTTAAACAAATACTATTTGATGAATTTTTACACCACTTCTTATCTAGCGGATTTTTGGTTCCCTGATTACGAATCTGAAGTCATTTACCAAAAATTCAAAATGGCGGATCCAATATGGCGGACGAAAAATTTAAAGCTGGGTATCTGAGGGTTTTCTGGTTCGCTAATTACGAATCTGTAGGCATTTACCAAAAATTCAAAATGGCAGATCCAATATGGCGGATGAAAAATTAAAAATATTTATGATTTATATGAAACTGGCTATTGGGGGCATTTTGGGTCTTAATCTTTTTTTTTGGGCAAATCTTAATTTTATTTGTCACACATAATAACAATGACTAAATACTTTTTCATAATTTCCAGCAGTAGTTCTCGCATTTTTTGCAATTGTTTCTCAAGTCGAATTAAGGGCTTCTTGCCAGATATTTTGGTACTTACCTAGAATATACATCATCGTGAAGCAATTATCGAAAGCGAATCCCACGAAGAATCGCATCAAGGCAAATTGCCAAAAATTTGTGGTGAATGCTGTGCCCACGCCTGCCGCAAAACCAACCAAATTACAGCCAATTAATGCGGGCACACGACCGAATTTATCCGCGATCCAACCGAAGAGTAAACCACCAACAATAGCACCCAGGAAGAAAATCGATTGAGCGTATGTAGGAAGGGCATCATGCTCACAAACCCAATTCTGCTCGGTTGCGACCGTGGCGTATGGATAATCAGTAAAGTTATATGACCAGCCTTGGCGACAACCCACTACCGGCCAGTTTGGGTCAGCTTTGCGCATGCCTTTAGCCAAGACGTCGGTATAATTCACATCATACATCAAGCAATTGTCATATTCTCTAATTCCGCGCATACTCGGCACTGAGAGGGCTAATCTGCCAAAGATAAATACATAATAATAAATAAAATATTGCACGGCAAACATTTCTATAAGCGCGAAAATGACAATATTTAGTAGTGATTATTTTAATTGTGACGTGCAAATTGAAGACACGCAATTTACTTACAAATATATATATACCTTTTACTACAAGCTATAATCATACATACATATGTATGCATAGCTGATACATACCAATAACTAGTATTAGTGAGTTGGAATAATGTATTTTAAGTTTGGCGAACTGATATAACTCAGAAACAAAAAAGTACAATAATCAGCTGAGAACGAACGTTTGACCTTGATTAAGCCAGAATTACAAAGAGATACATACATACGTATGTACATACATACATAGGTATAAACATACATACATATGTATGCATGTTTGACTAAATTGCGGCTTTACCAAAAATAAATATGTACAATCCCCACGATTAGCAGGTGCGGTTATACACACATATCTACCATGTTTGTGTGTTCGTATGAATGCCAGTACACGAAAAATATGTCTTCTATGAATGGACGGAAAGAAATATACACAAAGTTATATGCAGTTACCCAATAAACATCGCGCTTGGTTAACAATTCGGAAATAATTGGAAAACAAATCTTTTTGTTTTTGGATAATGTATGCGGCATAGGTTGGTTTTCGATTCGAGAACTAGGAGAAAACGGAACCTTCGTTATCCATGGTATTTTTCCTTAGTTATGAATTCGAAATCCAGCCCATTATCGAATTGAAATTTTATTGAGAGATNATTACCCAATAAACATTGCGCTTGGTTAACAATTCGAAAATAATTGGAAAACAAATCTTTTTGTTTTTGGATAATGTATGCGGCATAGGTGGGTTTTCGATTCGAGAACTAGGAGAAAACGGAACCTTCGTTATCCATGGTATTTTTCCTTAGTTATGAATTCGAAATCCAGCCCATTATCGAATTGAAATTTTATTGAGAGATAGTGATTCTCTTATGTTTTCCTTCGAGGATTACCTGGATTTCACTTCCCCTCTTGTTACTATGGTTTCCATTTTTTTCGAAACCATCTCGAGTGTATTTCCAATATACTATGAACGTTGCAAAACAAAAGGTTGGTTTTGTGTGCGTTCTCAGTTCGCTATGCCTATTGGATATCGAAGGTCATATCCGAATGTTCGCCACAATATTTATTGGGTATTCATTTGCACGTACATTGATTATTTTTATTAACCTCTCACAGCATCAACATTTCTCGTCTGTCGAAAGAACTAGTTCCAGAAGGTGCCGTGACATAGCCCCAAGTGGCATAACTCAAATTTTAAAATTTGGGATTATGTCACTCCTTGTCTGGTCTTTACTCAAACAACGTGACAAATAATACATACATATTATCAATTGTCTTGTCGTGTACAAACGCAAGGTAATACAACTGTCAGCAGTGTTGACCAACGTTCGTTGAGTGCGTCGACGCGAGGATTGTCAATCTGAAGTTCTCTATGCAAACATCGACTCCACTGTCAGTTGCATTCTTGGGCGTCACGTACGCAAAGTACTCATTCTGACGGGCTATAAGCTCAATTAAGACGCTGGAGCACAAAAGGTGTTTCCACGCTTCAATATCTTCACCACCAGTTGGACTGTGTTCTTAGACTAAAGCTTAATTCCTCGCTGCCGTCCAAATTTCACATACACCAATTTTCTGCCGGTACACCGTGGGAAATGTCGGAAAAAATTGAGGTTGCGCAGCTAAATGGAATAATCGCTTTTTCATTTTTGTTTATCAGAAATTTACTAGATCGAGTGAGAACTCATCAGTCTCACCTAAAAAAGGTCTCTCTATTAAAGATTAAAGAATAGCTTGATTGTTTCACCAACTCCAGTTATGCAATCTTCGCTTTTTCTATCTTTGATTAGAGAGATGGGTTCCCACTCGACTTAGCAAATTTCTCATAAAAACATTAATTTATCATCCTGATGAGATGAAATCAAAGATATTTAAAGAAAAATGAAAAAATAAAACTATTACACTCTTCCCGTTATCCTAACGCCGCGGCTAGATTCTTTCCAGATATTTCTCACTGTGTGGCTGCTGGGATGGCCGAAATTGAAAATGGTGTATAGCTGTTTGTAGACCAATGAATGCCTGATATGAGCACTTTCTAGTTAAATGGTTATATGCCACAATGAAAATTCTCCTAGGAGACAGTGATGCTTGTTCCATTTAAGTGGCAAACAGAATTGCAGCGGAGAGTGGGTAGTAAAGGGCTGACGAGTGACGAACAGCTGATCCAATCCCGTCGGAAAATATATATTGCTAATATTTCGGAAGAAAAAATTTTATTTCCAAAATTTTCATTAACAGGGTTTTTCGCGTATTCTTCCAGTAGAAAACTCTCAGCCACAAAATTCTAATGAATTTTTATCTGTTCTCTCTCAAAGAGAGAAATGTTAGCAAAAGTACGTGAACGCAAACATGATAAAAACATAGCAAGGTAGAACCGTTCTCTCAATTTGTCGGCCTTGATTTTTTTTTTAAGTTTGCCAACATTTTAAAATCATATAAAAGTGAAAATAAAAAATTGAAATTGTTGTTGCTTGAGATTGAAAATGAAAATGTGTGTGTGAGTTTGTGAGTAAATTTAAAAATTAAATTGTTTGGAAACGTCAAGAATTTTAAAAGTGACTCTCAGCGGTTCTACCTTACTATATTTTTATCATGGACGCAAAACTAGCAAAAACTTGCAAGATTTTTGTACAGCTAATTTTGTTTACATACAAAAGCATAAAACAGAAAACATGAAAAGAATATAAATAAAAAGTTTTCCTAAAGCAATTTGCTAATAAATAAAACATGAGTAAATGAGTATTTGCTTACTTCCGATACATTTGCAGTTTTAATAAGTTATTTCGAACTTAAAAATCATAATAATAAATCTAAATCTAAAATAACTTTCCATATTTTCATAGATTGAAAACAGATGACTTTGATCAGCTGTTTGACTTGCTGGCAAATGGCGCTGCCAAAAATTTTTCCAGCAGAAACTAGCAGCTTTTCATCAGAATGAAATGTCGCTTTGGTCTCTCAATTTCCCCTACTTTGCTGGATTTTTGTGTACGCGAACAGGAAAATCTGATAGTTATCAAAAACCATCAATACGCGAATAAACCTAATAAAAAAAAAAATTTTATAAAATGTGTTCGGTTTGAAATATTCTTCACCGACGAATCTACATATTAAAGAAACCCAAACCAAAGCAGCTTTTGATCATGAAAATTCTAAAACCACATAATCGTATTTTTGTAATAAAAATTAGCTTCCGTGACTACCGAACTGGTAGCTATTAAAATGGCTAGAGAATTTGTCATTCATTATCAATTGAAGAAACTACCAATTCCTAAGTGGTATTGTCATTTTAAATAACAGAAACAACAACAATTATATTGCAAAAGAGATTATAAATTCCGTTTCCAACTGGAATATTGATGAATTAAACATCCATTATATCCCAGCCCACAGTAATATTGAATTAAATGAAATAGCAGATCAGGCAGCAAAGAGGCTGATCAATATGGAGAAAGAATTAGTATTTCATAGACTATAGCTGAAGCAATAATGGAAATAACTACACAATTAAGAGAAGAGTGACAGCAGCAGTTTTCTGTTTTGAGTACTGACAAAGGCATAACATATAGTGGCATGTTTACAGAGATTCCAAAATCTCCCTGGTTCATTAAAAAACATTTAAAATTAAATTCAATTGAAATTAAGCAATTAAACCGAATTCTATCTAAGCACACTTTTTGTAAAAATACTCTTGCAAGAATGAATGTTGAATCTAATTCAAATTGGGATCAGTGCCTTACCACGAGAAGCTGGCAGAAATACGCTCAGGGGTTTGCCATTGCCTGCCGAGGAGTGACCCGCTATAAGAAAAAACGCACCTCACCGCGCATACCGGTTAGTCTTACTTCTAACCGGGGGATTCGGGGATATCACAGACCCCTTCGTAGCCCGTTTTTTCGGGTTAAGTCCCTGCAGTGAAAAATTATCAATTGTTAAAACTAACCAACTTATAGTTAGCTTTTTGGCGAGATTTCGATTAATACCTCACTTTTAATTAGCTATGACAAAACCAACTTAAAGTGAATTGTAAAGTCGTGCAGGAGTCATGCAGACGCAATCGGGAGTTGGTTTTCTTTACAAGTTTCTATTAAATATCCTCATACAAAAATTACTTTCAATACACTTTTTTTCTGAACTTCGCAGATTCTTTTTCATATTCAGGACAAATAAAAGGAAGATCGAAATTTTATACTATCATTTTGAAGTTATGTCTGACGGTGTTCGAATATGGGGCCACCCAGAGCAGAATATGTAAACAAATATGAAATGTAATAAAATAAAGTAAAGAAATAAGTAAATAAAAAAGTAAAAAAACAAAAAAATATTTTGTTTTTCTTATTGATATTTTATGTCCAAAAGTAGTTAGTTACAAGTTAGTTGACATGTAATGCAGAGGTATCCAGGTCTGACTTTTTTGCGGCCATCGCCCCACAAAAGTAGTTAGCTTTTTTCGAACAAAATAGTTAGCACTAGTGTTCGCGTAAACAGACTAAAGTTAGGTATAAGCTAACGTCACTCCCGGCAGGGGTGTAATGTAAATGTAATGTAATGTAATGAATTAATCAAAAATCAGGGTTGGTTTATAGTAAAAGCTAATAAATATATTATAAACATAGTTCAAATTGTTAAAATTTCCGCATTGATTATACAATTTTATTTGCGGCACATGCCTTTATGCGAAATGCAAGAAATACAATTCTTAGATGTACCAACTCTGAGCTTATTATAGACAAAAAGGGACAAATATATTTTCAGAAATAATGGTTCGAAGTGCCAATTAATTCGTATTTAAATATCTTTTAATTTACGCATCGATTTCTACCTACCATTTTTGGCCGCAGTCGCGACACTGTGCCAAATTAAAAAAAAAAAAGTTTTAGAGGAAAA